GGGGGGAGAAACTAAAATACAGTTTACCCTTTTAGTCTACAACTTCAGGCCTCATTAGATCCCATTCCCGGATAGATCACGCCAGTGGTTCCAAGGTGTATTGGCCAAGTACTGGGTCAAGAAAGCATAGGAGAAAAATCGAGTCCCGTCTGTGGCTTACTGTTTTCCAATAAATTGGGGCGCAGACTACCCTCGTGTACGTCAATTCTGAACGATAACAGAGTTTAAAGTCTTGGGTGTTGACCAATCCCGTTTCTTGGATGCGCCCTGCATTCGACCTCCGCTCGGAATCGTAGTGATTGGCGTTTCGGATGCCTCGATGGACTATGCAAGGACGTGCGGTGGCCTTGGGTGCATTCCTGGGTGCGTATATGAGGGGGAAGCCTTTCTGGCCAACCCCACTAGCACTAACTCGAGACACTCAAGGTAGTCCTCATTTTTAGTAAGCGATTAATGTCTTAGTCGTGTCAACTTTCGGCTCAACTCCCCCCTCCCCCACAGATTGCAAGTCATGAGCTCTTATGTGGGATTTTTCAACTTATTACCTAGGGTAACGCCAAATTTTTCCAAGGCAGTATTTCTCGTTTTTTTACCTTAAGTTCACTTCCTTTATAATTTTCATTTTGAACTTTCATGTTGGCCCCAGAAAGTAACTTATGACCTGATGGAAAAATGATTTTCGATCCGGTATTCTGGACGAGAAAACCCCTACACTTTCCGTTCACTGCCCATTTGAGATTGATGCTCACTAAAAGTGCAATGGGCTGTGAAATGGGCACGTATTTGCTTGAACCTCTTTGTGGAATTGCTCAGAGTGATTTATTAAACTATCAAGATTGATTAGAGATTCTCGAGAGCCTAAGAATTTCGCCGGGAAATCCATTAAGGCGTCTGAACGTTCTTTCCATGGAAATCGTAGAGATTCAATGGTTAGTCGGTACGTCAGAAGGTCCGTGAATGGGATATTCATACCTCTTGACCCTGCCTTCTCGTATATGTAAATACTTTTTCCATGTACATATACAATCTATTCTTAAAATATTGATGTGTGAGGCTTCACCGTGAACGTGCTCAATCATCGGTGAAGGATTGACCTCAGCAAGGACTCGAACCCGTGCTCACACTTTCCGCTTACTCCACTTCGCTATAAGGTACTAGGTTCCCATGTAAAATGCATAGGGATCCACTGATGTAGTTGTAAGTGGTGATACGGCATGCTGAATGTGCCTTTAGGAGATTTAAGGAAAGCTCATGGGGTGTTTGAATAGGTAAAGGTAGTTTTTGGGGAACACAGAAAGGTTCGAGTCTCCTCTAAACCCAGCCAACCACCCTTCCCACACTTAACGATGGTGGTATAGTGGTATTACCTTAAAGAAAACGGAAGAACTCTGTCTTTGCGTGGCTATCTATTTCCCGAACTCCTGTGAATGCGGTGCCTACATCCTCTTAAACAACTTTGGTGCTCCCAAATCGTTTAGGTTTGGCTAGGGTGTTATGGATTCTGTGGCAACTGTGCCTCACATCTGTTTTAAAGGCAAAACACAAATCATTTCAAATGGTCAGGCGAAAAAGGTCTAGGTGTTAAGCATAAACGACAGGTTTTAGGCTTAGAATTACCTATTCTACATACTTGACGTCAGCAGGAAGGAATTCCGGTTTATTCAAGCAATTTGCCTGATTGCGGAATCAGAAGTCCAACAACTGCAGGGAAATTTTCACGAATTCTCCTTCATTTGAAAGACAAGTTTGCTCAGTAGGACACCTTCCAGAAGTCATCGAATAAGTAAGGGTGAAGGATGGTAAGGTGTACTACAGTGAGGACAAGAGTGGTTTGATTTCAAATAGCGCCACTATCATTCAAATGGTCCCAGGATCAGATATCGGGTCGGTCATTCAGACCTAGTTCAGGCGAGCCTTTCATGTCTTAGGGGTCAAGAGGGTGGTAGAACATTCCGGTTAGTCTCCGCATCTTCAGTGACTGTGTAGACGGAATACTATTCAATCATCAATTCGGTTTTGAGGGTAAGTCAAATGTATGGGAACCTTCCAGTCCGGTCAGTCTTTCCTGCAACCTTGAAGACCATAGATTGCCAGTTCAGAGGTCTGGAAGTTTTCTTGCTCGAGTTTGAAGTAAGACTTCGCGCTACCGACAAAACTATGGGTCAGTCTAGAGATCAGTGAAGTAGCAAGTACCGAAAGGGGCTCGAAGCATAAGACCCTAGTGCTCTTGGAGGTCTCCGGGGTTTTCCCAGACAAATCTGATAGGTTGTCAAGCACTGGTATGAAAGTGACCGACAGGAGCCGATCGTTAATCCCTTTCTTGCTACATAACCTTACTCCCTAGAGTCACTGGAATGGCGTCATAAGCTATAAAATCCAGGGTAATGCCCACTTTTCTTTGGTTGCACCTGGGAATTAGAATCGAACTTTCGTCATTCCCTCCCTTGTTTTTGAGAGAAAAAGCAGGTCTCAAGAAAATTCAGCGTCGGAATCCTTTATTAGCCTTTTCATACATGCAATGATTGATGCTCCACTTTATTCTATGCCATAACTTTTCTATTCTTTGGGTTCTGGCATAAATAATTGTCTTTAGAAGCACCCTACGATTACAACACGGTCTCGGAGATTTCTAATCGCTAAAAATTTATGGCCCTTGAGGAAACGACATGGGATATTGTCGGGTAGAAATGCTAAAGGGCGCAGTAAAGGTTCAAAAACCGACTCGACGCATTTTGCTGTTCAACACCTCCAAAAAGAAGGACGTGTTTAGCGGCCCTGTAGAGGCTGCTATCTTGTTGAGTGGGGCGCGTTTGTTGCAAATACAGCCCCGGGGTAAGCCAATAACTAGCAAATGTCCAAACAACCCCTTGGTTATCTGACTTGTTCCTACCCCAGAAATTGTCTACTTCAACAAATACCTTATATTCCGGAGAAAATGTTCAAGCTCTTCTTCGGAATCGCAGGGCATTCGGGTCGTGGCGCATCCACGGAAAATTGACGAGTGTTGGTTGTTACTTCTCAGGTTCTTAGATGGGTTTCCTGATTTTCGCCGAAACTTCCCT